AGGGTTGTGACTGGAGTACTTGTGATGTGGTCAGTGTTGTGGCTGAAGTACTTGTGATGTGGTCAGGGTTGTGACTGGAGTACTTGTGATGTGGTCAGTGTTGTGGCTGAAGTACTTGTGATGTGGTCAGGGTTGTGACTGGAGTACTTGTGACGTGGCCAGTGTTGTGACTGGAGTACTTGTGATGTGGCCAGTGTTGTGACTGGAGTACTTGTGACGCCAGGGCGTGGTCAGTGTTGTGGCTGGTTTACTTGTGATGTGGTCAGTGTTGTGGCTGGTGTACTTGTGATGTGGTCAGTGTTGTGGCTGGAGTACTTGTGATGTGGTCAGGGTTGTGACTGGAGTACTTGTGATGTGGTCAGTGTTGTGGCTGAAGTACTTGTGATGTGGTCAGGGTTGTGACTGGAGTACTTGTGATGTGGTCAGTGTTGTGGCTGAAGTACTTGTGATGTGGTCAGGGTTGTGACTGGAGTACTTGTGATGTGGTCAGTGTTGTGGCTGAAGTACTTGTGATGTGGTCAGGGTTGTGACTGGAGTACTTGTGATGTGGTCAGTGTTGTGGCTGAAGTACTTGTGATGTGGTCAGGGTTGTGACTGGAGTACTTGTGACGTGGCCAGTGTTGTGACTGGAGTACTTGTGACGCCAGGGCGTGGTCAGTGTTGTGGCTGGTTTACTTGTGATGTGGTCAGTGTTGTGGCTGGTGTACTTGTGATGTGGTCAGTGTTGTGGCTGGTGTACTTGTGATGTGATCAGTGTTGTGGCTGGTGTACTTGTGGCGTGGCCAGTGTTGTGACTGGAGTACTTGTGACGTGGCCAGTGTTGTGGCTGGTGTACTTGTGGCGTGGCCAGGGTTGTGACTGGTGTACTTGTGGTGTGGTCAGTGTTGTGGCTGGTGTACTTGTGACGTGGCCAGTGTTGTGGCTGGTGTACTTGTGGCGTGGCCAGTGTTGTGGCTTGTGTACTTGTGACGTGGCCAGTGTTGTGGCTGGTGTACTTGTGGCGTGGCCAGTGTTGTGGCTGGTGTACTTGTGACGTGGCCACTCAATGAATGGAACTCAATAATAATCCCTTGATAACGCATATTATCACAGTTTGCTGAAGCTATTGGTACCTCTTACCCACCAAGTCCTCTTGAATTATTTACTTAATAGCTTTGACAGCACAGCACAATTCTGTGTTGACTAAGCGTGCCTTTCATCACCAATTCTGTCAGAATTATTCTCAGCCACTGTAGATACAAGTAATCACGATATAAATAATTGATACACCACACCCTCGACTCTGCTTATCTGATTCCGGGTACCAAGTAGAGCATACATCATTGATCACGTCGTAAAAAATCGACAATAAGATCTGCGACTTTGTCTGGAGACAATCTCAGCATCTTGGTGGTCCACAAGCCCGAGTGAGTGAGTGAGTGAGTGAGTGAGTGAGTGAGTGCAATATTCAGATTATATCATGACGGCCTGTATGTAATGAGCTAGACAAACCAGTGGTTTAACACGATCACACGCCATCAGCAATGCCACAGTGTGTCCACCCGATCCCCTTACCAGTCGGCTCTTACAAGAAGCATGATATACATATTCTGACTATGCTTGTCGTAAGAGGCGACTAACGGGATCGGGTTGTCAGGCTCGCTGACTTTGTTGATGCATGTCATCGTATCCGAATTACGTAGATCGATGATCATGATCTCAATCACTGGATTGTCTGGTCCAGACTCGATTATTTACAGACCGCCGTCACATAGCTGAAATATAATCGAAAATAATCGAGTCTGGACCAGACAATCCAGTGACTGATGTCATGAGCATCTATCCACGTAGTTGGGATACCATGACATGCATCAACCAAGTCAGCGAGCATGACCACACGATCCCGTTAGTCGCCTCTTACGACAAGCGTAGTCGCCTTTTACGGCAAGCATGGGTTGCTCAACACCTATTCTACCCCGGATCTTCACGGGTCGCGGCCGTTGAAAACAACAAAACATAATAATAATTACCTGAATGATAAAAGCAAAACAAAACTGTCGTCGTTTCATTGATATACTCGTATATATTACCAAGTGACTCAAACTCGTTGAAAGAAAAAAATCTCTGCTTGTAGATACACTATCCACTCGACTTTACCTTGCCCCTGAGATAGGCACGGCCTGACGGTGTTAAACGACATGAATTCCTGTTCAGATGGAAGCCAAGTCTTTGTGTAAATGTTTTATCCGAGTTTTCAATATCCCTAAGTATGTTGTCCATAGGTCGGTGTGTAAAGGTCGGAGACAACGCAGTGTGTCTCGTCCTCATCCCCACAGACAGCCGACAGATACCGATGACCTTCGGAATGTCAGCGGAACTTGCCGAGCCCCGCGGTGATGCCAACACTATATGTCCAGGGACATTAAACATATTGGTCGGCCATATAAACTAACGGTGTGTGTACGTTTATTCGACATCAACACAAGACGAAACATGTGTACAGGTGAAAAAAGAATCGTTGTCGTTTATCAAATGCATAATATCTCCTTGCTTTTATCATAAATATCCTGAATCCATTCGAGGCGTTCGAAAGTGACGTCACCAGCTTCATCTCACCTTTCACAAACTTAGCACAGAAATTCTCTCGCTCATGAAGGCGTTATTTACGGGGTGTTATTCTGATCGGTCTCTATCTACAGTACTCACATTTGTTCATGGCATTTAAATAAGAAATCGTTTTTCTTAAAACTGAAAAGAACTATTATGAAAAAACATTCGAGATTTTTTTCCACTCAAGAATTCTGAAACATAAATTAAAATCTTGTTTTATGTTGTTTTTGTTTGTTTGTTTGTTTGTTGTTTAACGCCGCACTCAGCAATATTCCAGGCGGTCTGTAAGTAATCGAGTCTGGACCAGACAATCCAGTGATTGACATCATGAGCATCATGAGCATCGATCCGCGCAATTAGGATCGATGACATGCATCAACCAAGTCAGCGAGCCTGACCACCCGATCCCGTTAGTCGCCTTTTACGGCAAGCAATAGGTTAGACCTATTCTAACCCGGAATCATCACGGGTCTCTTGTTTTATGAATTTCGTACTGAGAAACCAGGACGCTCAGAGAGCTGAAACATTGAGAATTGTATAGGTCTATGACGTGACTTGTCCGTAGCATGGGAATTTAAAGAACATGACATATAATTGAAAAACGTTCTTCCGCTGTGGTATTTTTAAGTATCAATGTTTCCCTAAGATCAGTTTCATCAAACAAGTCGACATTGAATAACAGTTTGTCAACAGTTTGTTTGTTTTTAAATGAGATCTGAAGGAAATTCTAAATTGTTGTGAAAAGTGTAAATGTTATCGTGCATGTTCGTTTTATTTATGCATGTTGTTTACTCAAATGCATGGTATTATGTACTTTTGCTTACAAATAATCATAGTAGTGGTTACTTATTTTGTCCATGGATATAAAGCCACTTAAGATATATCCCTTTAGCACTTACTAAAAACAAATGCGTAGGTTGGTCAAATTATAATTTATGATATATTTTTAAATTAATACATATTTTCAATCACTTCAACATAACTTCTTCATTTTACAAAATAAAAACTCTAACATAAAGCAATTCCCAATTTGGAAAAATCACGACCGGAATTTAGTGTGTCAAATAATTAAACCAAAAACCTAAGGGTCGAGTCAATTGTTTGGGACAGTCAGTTATGAGGAACACTATTTCTTTATATGGGCTAACGCAAAAAAGGTTATTAAAACCCGAAAAAAAAGAAGAAAAGACAGATTAGTTTTAACTGATAGTATATAGGTTAAATTAATCTTTATAACAGTGTCATCTGTAACTGTGTATAAATGAGACTACAAACGCCTGTGGTATACGGTCAAGAAAATATATGTAGTTTTACAGATATACAATCTGTAGACACGAATCCATCACATATAGCTATCACTTATGCATCTTAAGAAAGGTGCGGGGTATATAGATAAGATGACACTTTATTATCTTGAAGGGAATTTGGGTTACATCAGCACAAGTTCTCAGATTATTGATAAACACACATACAAATAAATAATAACATGCTCAACAATAATTTATGACAAACTTATTATAAAACCTGGTATACTAGCTGGTAAGAATTAATTCAGGGCCCTGTTTGTTCTCAACATCGGCAATTGTAGTCCGCGACCAGAAGGAAAAAGTTGATACTCCGATGTAAAACATGGGAGATGTCGCTTAATATTTTATTTGCTTTATTAACTATTGGCTGCTCATGAATACTGCCGATGTCCTGAAGAGAGATGCAAATGATTTTATTCGCTGTTACAGATTTTGAACAGTTTGTTTTTGTTGCGAACAGACAGGTTCCCACCAGCTAGTGAAAATAAACATGGACGTTAGTCAATTTAAAATGTCTTAGAAGACGAAGTAAATACAACCTCGGTTGACCCTTCGTGTGTGTGTGTGTGTGTGCGCGCGTGCGTGCGTGCGTGCATTCCGTATTTGCATCCCATACGAGTTTTGAATCAATGTTGGTCCCCAGATATTTATATTTGTCCACAACTTCTATTACCTCATGTATATTATCAATAACATTTGGAATAAGACATGAGTTATATTTCCTAAAATTAAAGGACATTTCTTTGTTTATAGTTCCGATTGATCTTGTTTGGTCGATATACCTCTATATGTGAACATGAATGATTGACGTAAAATATTCTGCTCATTAACAATGTATTTGACATATCTTATTGGATATTTAGGTTGCTCGCATTAAATTAACCTCACAAGTGACTTTACGCCAGTCACGCTTACAAGATAGTTCCGCATCCCTTAACACTTATTCAGGTTTCTTCACATGCCAACGCGTGTGATCGTCTGCTTGATATGTTTCCATTGAGAATGCACGATTTGCACGTACAAAACCGAGTGTACCGCGCGCGGACCGAGCCGGTATTTGTTTACATGGCTGAAATCGCTTAAAAAGACCCCAGTTTGACGTACCTGATACTTTCTTGACCTCCCTGGTGGAGCCGTTCAGTGCAACGTTTGCCTACAGTCTCGTATTCCGAGACTCGAGCAGGGTCCATGACGACAACCGACGACATCAACATCCACTGTCAACCAGGCCCGGTCAGCTGACGGGCAGCTGCAAGTGAGGCGTCCTTACCGGCAAATGCAACGCTTGTCTTCAGAGCTGTCGTTGTGAAAATGTACCTTGTTTATTTTGTAAACGTTTATCCTACAGGTTATGAACATAAACGTGTGCCCGCCTGGAAAGAACATCCACTGTGACCCCAGCGAGAACAATTTCACATCGCTATTGCTGTGCAGTCGACCATCCTAGTCCATCCATTTACAACTGTGAGCCGCGGTATACAACGCAACGAGGTGTTTGTAGCGTTCACACCTTCATCAACAAAGCTGTTTTCGTGTTCTTACAGTCACTACTACACTATTGATATACACATGTAGGATGCGGGCGACTTCAAGTTCACAGGCGCTATTATGCAAATATTGACAGCATACAGATCGATCGCCTCTAGATGACCCACAATGCAACTTGTTCTCTCATCTGGGCGACATCCTGCGTCGGTCGAATTGTGGACGCTCTGACGGATCTATTCGATTTTAGCGAAGTCGCTTCAATTTTATGCTATCTGTTCGCCTCGCGAATCATTATATGATTTATTATGTTAATAGTGCCGGGGTAAATGTTATATTCTCGCTCTTATAAGCTGAGGAAATTGTACGCCGGTTAATCAATAATTTGTCTTATTTGCACTGATTTCTAAAATATATTCCTCACCAACAATTGAATTGAAGAGACACACAGCAATTACAAGCTACACCTACGTATGATTAATAAGGTTCAATATACAGTGTATGTATGGACATGTGCATTTTAAAGCAGTACATACATGCATACACGGCGGTGCCGGTGGGACACGCTCCCCCGTATAGCGTCAGGCACCGTGTGTTGTTGTTGACTTCGTGACATGGGTATAGCGTGCGTCCCCCTTTCCTAAATCCTGGATCATCCTCTGCTAAAGATGAGCACAATTTGGTTCAACTTTAATTTTCCCCCAAAAATACTGAAATCTCAAAATATAAGTTTGCAGATGCAGACGGGTTGGGGAATGAAGTGACAGCTGTTATGCAATGACATGGCGGTTATTCAAGCTATTGATCATGCAATTCCGCCACATGCTTGAAGCTTTTATGTCATTAGGTGTTACCACTAACTAACATATGCAATTTTACCCATCCAGGTACTAAATTCAGCAGGTATATCTCAATGAAAATAGGATATTCTCAGTTTTCAGTTGGTGTGGCTAATACATACTATAAAGTATTTGTGTGTGTGTTCAGTCATGTGTTGAACACGTGTTCAAAGCATGAATATTGTATGGCCGCCTACGAATGTATCAGAATGAATATTGACCCTGTTTGCTAATTTTAATCTAAGGGACAGCCCATTTGATTTACGGGAGGTATGGGTGGGGTGAGTTGGGTGGGTGGGAGGATGTAAGACTAGATATTTGTCAGCTCCAGAAGCAAAACCATGTAAAACCATTTGATGAAACACACACACACACACACACACACACACACGATGAACCCACGATTATGAAATGGTATGTCCCATACATCAAGAAGTAACATACACGATCTTATGTATTTCCTATGTGTATTCAAATACATAGTCCGTTTACTGCGTCATCTAACATGACACGCGTGCAGCACGGTAGCCGGCAAGTACACTGACCTGAACCCATGCGGTGTTGTAAAAGGTTACGGTGAAAATGTCAACTGCAGAATGAAAAGCCTATTTTCAAGTTCCAGCCTTTCTCCGTTGTCTCGGAGTGCACAGTTATTAATACCACATTATTCTAGATCAGAGTAGGGGGCCCGACGCTGCCAGAAACCTATCTTCGCGGGTTCGGATCCAGATTTGCCCTGTTTCTGGGTTTGTCAGCACCATGCCGCGCTCGTGGGTTCGTCAAAATGGTAAACGCCTAAAACCTGCATCACGTCGGGCTTTTCTCCATCATCACGCTGACAGGCCGTGATGTAGCTGGAATGTTGTTCAAAGCGGCGTTAAACGGAACTTACAAGATCAGAAAAAGCCTTTCTGTACGTGGGTCATGTTTTCCGACGATTAAAAGACCCGTGAAAATCCGGGGTAGAATAGGTCTTCAGCAACCCATGCTTGCCGTAAAAGCCGACTATGCTTGTCGTAAGAGGCGACTAACGGGATCGGGTGGTCAGGCTCGCTGACTTGGTTGATGCACGGTCATCGATCCCAATTGCGTGGATCGATGCTCATGATATCAATCCCAGGATTGTCTGGTCCAGACTCGATTATTTACAGACCGCCGTCATATAGCTGGAATATTGCTGAGTGCGGCGTTAAACAACAAACCAACCAACCAACCAACCGACGATTAAAAAGGGGATCGGGCGGTTACAACAGCTACATACACTGAGTGTGCACAGCACTTCATGGCTGAACACTGTAGTCACACCATCAATCACTGGTTCGCCTGTAGCCTAAAGGAAGCCAGTCTCTTATAGGGATACATTATGATATCAACTACTACTTATTGCCTTAGAGACTTGTGCAAGTCTAGTTTTGCCTGGTCTACCGTGATGCAGCGGTGTACATATCCATCTGCTCATTTATTCTTTTCAACCCGGGAAGTTCCGGGTTTGCTGTAGAAGGAGACTATGCTTGTCAGAGGCGACTAACGTGATCGGGTAGTCAGGCTCGCCCATGAGGTTGATGCATGTCATCGTATCCTAATTGCGCAGATCGATGCTCATGATGTCAATCACTGGAATGTCTGGTCCAGACTCGATTATTTACAGACCGCCGTCACATAGCTGGAATATTGTTGAGCGAGACATTCAACAACAAACAAACAAACAAACACATATAGTACGCGCCACCCTGTTATCCCCCACTACCACCCAGGAATAATTCTCCATTTCCAGGAATCGTTAATCAGGAGGGATTCCATGTAAACAGACCCGTCTGAACCGAGGTTTCACTGGATGATGGAATTTATTTTTGAGATGCACCAAGAATGACAATTGTGTTCCTTCCGGCTTTGGGGACAAGGGTGGCCCAGTCGTCTAAGGCGCCGCGATACTCTGTGCAGAGTTGCGTCCCTTGGGCACGCTAGAAACCTATGATTGTGGGTTCGAATCCCGGTCCGCCCCGATTATGTTTCTAAGTTTGTCAGCACCATTCCCGTGCTCGTGGGTTTCACCGAAGTGGTAAACGTCTGAGACCTGCATCACTTCGGGCTTTCCTCCCACATTAAGCTGACACGCCGTGATAAAACTGGAATACTGTTAAAAGCGGCGTTAAACCAAACTCATTCACTCACTCCGGCTTTAACGCGTTGCACGTAATCCAAGTGTAAAGGTGGCAAGTAAATATGGATACGTATTTTACTGTGTTTTCTGCATTCCGATATTGTGTTGGATAGATATGCAGGGGCATGTACAAAGGTTACGAGTGAGTTACAATTTAACGCCGCATCGGCATTATTTCAGCAATATAGAGACACACAGGTTACGCCATTTTACAATTCGCACTAACTAGAGGCACTGCAGCTCACCTGTAAGGATGAAAGATCAAGTTCAATCGTTGTTCAAATAACCTTAATTGTGTTACATGAACCGATTACTGGCCATGTAATTTCTAAAGCAGTTCAGATCCCTAGCTGTTTCTGGGTGTTTATTTCCCAAATAGTATAATTATGTAGCTAATGACATATTATTTTCAATAGTGGCAATGCCTTTAACATATTTGGCAATCATGATGATAAAATGATAAATAGAAGCTTATTTGATGCGAAGTATAAATATTTTCATTAAGGGTCTTACTTAAATGCATTTAAAAAAAATTAACCCCTCTCCCCGGGCGCTTCCGACCCTACCCGAGTCCAACCAGACGGACATATTATGTCAAAACATGTAACGTAAGATCAATGGATAGAGAACAATGGTATCAGCTCCGCGTTACTTCTGTCTTGGTGAGCTAACAATAGAATCCTTCACGTGTGTTATATTTATAACGCTGTCAGTTTGACTGAATGTACAGTTGCCATAGCTACAAACATGTAAATGCCAGTTTATTCGTTGATAATTATCACATTCTAAATATGTACCTGTGACCAGTGCTGGTAAAAATACTGTGAGGCATACAAAATGGAAACAAGTGACGTAGACCATTATTAGAATCGATTTTAAGAGTTTATACCAGCTTAAAAAGCTCTTCAAATTTTACTTAATTTCTCTTAAGGTTTCAACAAGAGTGGCCAGGCTCGCTGACTTGGTTGATGCATGTCATCGTATCTCAATTGCGTAGCTCGATGTTCACGATGTCAATCAATGGATTGTCTGAGTGCGGCGTCTGTCAGTCTTTATTTATTTGCCTACTTTCTTACTTATTGGTAAGACAGCCTCCGTGGTCTAGTAGTAGAGCGTCCGCCCGTAGAGCGAAAGGTCCGGGGTTCGATCCCCGGCCGCGTCATACCAAAAGACGTTAAATGATGGGATTTTTTCCTGGGTAGAATAGGTCTTCAACGACCCATGCTTGCCGTAAAAGGTTGACTATGCTTGTCGTAAGAGGCGACTAGCGGGATCGGGTGGTCAGGCTCGCTGACTTGGTTGATGCATGTCATTGATCCCAATTGAGTGGATCGATGCTCATGATATTATTCACTGGATTGTCTGGTCCAGACTCGATTATTTACAGACCGCTGTCGTATAGCTGGAATATTGCTGAGTGCGGCGTTAAACAACAAACCAACCAGCCAACTTGTTACCCTGTCTGGCGCTCGGCATAAAGGGGCTAAAACAAGGACTGGTCGGCTCGGAATCAGTATACTGTGTCTGAGTGGGGTATTCATGTTAAACTGCGGCATGGTATCTCAGTGTGCTAGCACTATAAATCTGCATCAGTCCGGACTAGTACAAGCAGCCACCCACCCACGTGCATGCACGTCGCTATATAAGTGCAATAATCTTGGACGCGACGTTAAACCCCATTTCACCTCATCTCACTTATCGGTAATACTCAGAGGAGTGTCCGGGGTTTCATTGTATATGCATGATCATGAAGTTCACTCAGTTCAGTGTTGAAGGGTCGCCTGTGTATGTAGTGTGTTAAACTGTCAAACAGAAACATATGCCAACAAGCGTCAATAGGTCTGAGTATGTTGACAATGTGATTAACAGTTGAAGAACTTGTTGTTTGTGCCAATGTCACACTGATTGGATGCTAAAATGAAACCGGAAAAATGGAAAACTATTAAACACAATGAAAAGTGGAAGCTTGAAGGTAAAAAGGCTACCCAAAACACACGCCTGAACGCAACCAGTGGTTTAGCCCATGCACGTGCAACTCATGACATGTGACAGTCAGTCAGGCCATATAATGATTCATTCAAGGTGCAACTGAACTGCACTCTGGGAAGTTGACAATGCGACGTTTTCGACCACTAATAAGGACCCTCCATAATGATGC